GTCCCCCGGCTCTTGGCGCCGGGATGTCGCCCCCGGGAGCCGGGGCTCTGCGGGACAGCGGCGCCCAGCAGCTCGGTGCTCCTTCGGTCCTGCTCCGAAACGTGTCTGGTCAGAGGAAAATGAGTGATCGACTTTATGAGCTTTGACTTTGCTAAGGTGTAAAATGATCTCGTTATGGGGCTTCTGAGGAGAAAAAAAATACATACGTATACATATATAAGAAATACAAACATACGTGCGTGCATTTCGATACACAGTTAAATAAACAAAATGATATTTCTGGACACTACCATTTCATCGGACCTCTTTAGACCATGCCTGCTGTGCCAACAGTTGAATTAGCCCAATTAAGAGTCAGGAAACCCCCCGAAGACGAGAGAGATGAAGCGAGTAGCTGGGTGTGCTGTTCTTAAATACACCTGCTGCTGGAGGAGTCATGGTGGGGAGCTGTCGCAGCTTTGGAGAAGACAGGTTTGCTGAACTGCATCACAGACACCCAAAATCTCTGCTGGCTAATCCACATACCCATCCTTGCGGTGCCGCTTAATCTGAAGGTCATGAAGCTCTTTCTGTGTAGCCACTTGGAGGAGAATCAGTCCTTCCCTGAGAGGGAACGCACCTGATTTGTAGGGCCTTTTTATACCAGAGAATGATTATTACAATTTTAACAATAATTATGAAAAGTATGACACTAAACACATTGTCAGCCATACAGTCTAGCTTCTAGATTGTCGTGACAGCAAACTTCCATCAAAGATGTGTTTTTCTGTTGATCCACTTCTGTATAGTTTTGTCAGGGGTGACAGAGGACAAAGCACAGCACGTTGTATGAGAGATGGCTGGCTGATCAATATGTTAAAGGAATTTTTGTTATTCTTTTTTTTTAGGGAAAGTTCCTTTACATGTACTAATACTGTAATTTAGTAAATGTATGTTATATATATGTAAATGCCAAGAAGAAATTTTATAGTATATTCAGGGATTTGGAGATCTGGGATTAGTTCACACCTCCTTGAATTAGAATACACTGTTGCAATTAGAGATGTGCTTGTTGAAGAAAAGTCAAATCATCTCATAAATTCTCCTAAAAGGGGCAGCTTTTCATGCAGACTGTGGGTAACTACATGAGGTTATAGCTTTGTTCTCTTCGTTTAAGTGTACCTGTTTTCTGTAATGAAAAGCTTAAGCCAAGTTAAAAGGAAAAGTGTACAATCCAAAACTTGATCATGTATTTGTGAACATGTATGAACATTTAGTGATGTTGTGACTTGATTCTAGTAATTGTAAAAGACTGGTTTGGAATTTCATTTTAAAATAGTCATCTGGGTGCCTGTGGGAATATCAGATGGTTGCTTTGGTGGCAAATCTTTGAATTTGCCAGCACACATGGATAACTTTTAAGTACAAGAATAACGCTCTTGATTTCAGTGAGGTTTTTCATATGCTTAAAGTTCAGGTGCATTTGTGTAATGAGTTGAAGGATTGATACTTAAAGGGACCAAGGGGGCCTGAATAATCTAAAAGTTTTTGTGACTGTGAATTAGTTGCGTGTCGAGGTGTGTTCTTGCTTTAACTCCTTTGGTGAAGGACAGGTGCATTAACCTGATATTCTAGGTTTGTATTTAATTTGTCTTATAACTGATATATTGCACTGTAGAATATTGAAATCCGAGTTATTTTTTTCTGATTGGTTTGGTTTTTTTCTCAAATGTAGGATGAAATAAGAAGAGCCAGGTTATTATTAGAAAACAGCGGGAGGACACTAAGTGAGCCCATACAGAATGATCAGGTATTTTGGAGCACAGTTTTTGAAAACTAGAGGTGTCTTTTTTCATGGCTGAAATAGTTGATATTAGTATAAGATCTAGCAGACAGAATACTGAGGTTCAGCTACAAGGGATAACACAAGAAAAACTCATTACTACAGAGATTTTTCTAATCTATGTATCCGGTAGGAATTTTTTTGCATGACTACTGATGCCGAATTGCAGTATTAATATCCTGAAGAATGCTAGGTTGTGTTTCATATTGCTGAGTTTAAAAGATGCTCTCAGATCACTCTGGGAATCATAGCTTTAAGCCTGTCTACCCTCAGTTGGCATGATACAGGGAGGTGATAAATATGTAACATGCTTACTGAGCTCACTTTGAATCTTTGATGTTGCATCATCATATAGAGGACAAGTTGGTTTGGTTTCACATCTCATACAATAAGCAGGAGCAGTACTTGGGTGGGAAACCTACTCATGGAATTGCTGGAAAGTAGTGCTGAGCCCTTGCTTCCTTAGGAGGAGTCATGATTCACTCTGGGCTTGACTCTTCCCATGTGGCGTTTAGTACCTTGTGTGTCAAAGTCTGAAAGGAGAAATAAAAAATTCTGTGATTCCAGAAAAGCTGAAGTCTTAATATAAGTGTTTAGGCTTTTAGCCATATTTAAGAATTGTTTTCTGGTTTAAAATACCTACTAGCTTAACTTTTAAAAATTCACTTTCTGTTTTGCCATAATGTGTACTTTGGTGCTGTTACACAGCACATGGAATGTAAGTAGGTTATATTCAACAAGGAGTATACATAGAGAGATTTTAGGGAAAAAATAATTAAAGGGGTGTATACATATATGGCATTCAGTATAAAAGTAAGTTATTGGGAAAAGAATATAATAAATTTAGAAAAAAGATTTTACCCAGTCTCTTCTGAAACTTGATTACTAACCTAACTTTCAAATTGTTTAGACAAAGCAAGCCTTCCTGCTAAGCCTGGTAAGTTTACAAAATATTTAGAAATCTTTTTTTTTCTTTTTTCTTTCTTATTCAAGTATGGCAAAGGTGGTCTAATTTGACTTTAGTCCTTTTTTTTTTTTTTCTTTTAAGTCCAGTGTACATCCTGATACAGACAAGATAACTCCTGTTTTGTTTAGACCTCCAGGTAAGTTCCCTTAAGAGAAGTTTTGTGTATGTGACTGAAGCATCAAAGGGGAATAGCTCATAATAAATAGCCCCTGTGATACTATATAGATATTCTTCTCCATAGAGAAAAACAAGTAGACTCTTAGTTCTGATAGTTGCATTGTCATGTCTGTTGAAGATTTATTTATTCCTACAGTTGTTTTGAGGAATTTTTCCCACAGTTCATCTGCTCAGCTAGGTGGAAATAGTCTGACTGGTCTCTGGTTTTTTTGTCACTACAGAATGAGTTCCCAAACCCCTCCACACGTGAAACAGTCTACTATAAGCTAAGTTTTCACTTGATGGATGTGGCTACCGTCTGAATTTACTTGCTGTTGTAGCAGATAAAGTCTGCTTGGGGCGATGTTTAGGAAGCCAAGACAGCACAGGTCATTAATCAGATATAACCATGCTTAGGCTATTTACTGATTACCTCCTATAACCACTCACAGCTGTGGCAGCCTTTGTTGCCACCTGTCTCTTTTTTTTAATAGAGTGCGGAGAAGCAATTTCTGTTTAAAACTCAGTTACATAGTTTCTGAGTAGCCATGTTGAGTGGCGTTCACAAGGGTTTCTTTTGGCTATAAGCTGTGACCAGATGTTCTGGCTTCTTTAATGGGGAGTGAGAGACAAAGGTTAGAATTGAAGTCCATGGTGATGGTGGGGTTTTTGTGGGTTAATGTTTTACTTAGAGCTGAAACTAGAGGGGGGGAAGTTAGGGGAATTTTCTGCTCAAAATCTAGACTCAGCAGTTATTTTTTCTGAAATTAAGTTTTCTTTCTTTTTAGCCTTCCTGCCCATATCTCTTCCATTGGTGAGTAATCATGAAAGATGCTAGTGTACCACAGGGCTTACATTTTTCCAAAGCCAGGAGTTGGAGGGAAGGAACAGAAAGTTTTAGGCTTCTTAGTTGTATTTTCAGCACAAGTTTTTAAAAAGACATCTATTTTATGGGAACTGCTGAGGAATCAAGAAATGGAGCCCTTAAGGAATATCATTGGAAGTCCAAACCTGTTAGCTACCTTTCTTCAGCAGCATTCAAAGAGATAGTTTGTGTGTGAAGGTCAGCTTTCTGATGCAAGGTGAAATTTGCTAGGCTTTGAGAGCAAGGCTTGGTTTTGGTCTGTTTAACCTCAAAAAACCTGAAACTGTGGTAGGAAGGAGTTAGAGCCTTGTGTTCTGTGTTTCAGTCCCAGAATATTAATTTTTTCTTACGTAGATTGCGCATTTGCAAGTAAGAAATGGTGTTGTCAAGAAATTACAAAAGATTTAAAAATAAACTCTTGTTACAATGCTCAAAATTGCACTGTTTTGTTTCATAAAATTTGTAGCTGTAATTATATGCATGTTTGTTCATTCAGATGTGCTTGCCTTTGGTTTTGGCATATGAGTATGCAAACTGAGATACGTCATTACAGAGAGACTACAGCATGAACTTACATGGCTCTGCTAGAATGTATAATGAAAGTCATGATGACTATTAAATTCATTAAGAACAGTAATAGAATTAACAGAAATATTTCTCTTTGGTATTTACAGCTTAATGCTCTTTCATAGATGTGGTTAGATGCAGCACTAGCATTAATAATAAAGGTAGTTGACCCGCTAATATTACATGAATTACATGATCCTCCTCTGAGGCTTTGGACATTCCCTGCTCTCCTCTTACTCAATATTTGCCTTATCTTGATTGACTCTCTTCTTTGAGAGTACTCCACACCTTGAGCTTGGTAGATCAGACGTCAAGAAAGGCTGTGGTTTGTTAAAACAGAACTTATTCACTGTCTGAATTTGAGAAGGAGTTGGAAAGTAACTCCTAAAATCTTTGATCTTAGATCAGTTAGATCTAGTATTTATTTCACCACTAGTCAAAACAATCTGACCCTTTCTCATTCACTTTAATTACATTTTTATTATCTTAGTTATTTTATTTGCATCTATTTAAGCTTCACAGGTACAAATGCATTTATTATTTTAGGTAAGAAAGCATCTTGCTCAAATATTCTTGCACACAGTGTTTTAATCACTGTGTCTCTGTGTTTTTATATTGGATAGAAAAAGTGAATATGTTAGATCTGTGGCAAGAAAATGAGTTAACCTAGAATAAATGCAAATGGCTTTGGATGCTGTCTGGAGCCTTTGACACTGCTGCAAATAGTAACATAGCAGTTATCTTTGTGCTCTAGCCAAAACTTCCTCAATTTATCAAACTTACTTTTTTGGGGGGGTTTTCCTTGTAGGTTATTGTTTCATCACTTCAGCTGCAGGCAAAGCACAATTTTTTTTATCAGGTAATTGCCTCTTTGTTTCTAATTTACAAGTCTTCTAGTCTCAGTACCAAATTCATTTTTGCTTATAATCTCTCCTTTCTGCAGTTCGTGTTTCACACATACACCACAGGATTCACCCTATTAAATGGAAATGGTACCACAAAGGCTGAAGTATGTGTTGATTTTATTTTTTTTAAATCATCATAATTGTACAAGACCATTTTGAACATGAGTTACAAGTATTTTTCAAAAGGACTTAATGTACTATTTTCTTCTGTCCTCCTTAGGAGTACTCAGTTCAACAAAAGCAGATCTTCTACGGCTTGGGAGCCATTTCCTATGCAGCGTGTATTGGTGTATGTATTTGCTCAATGATTGCTTTCCTGATAAGCTCTACTGAGGAGTAGGTGCTGAGATAATCACACTGCCAGATATCCTTCAGGATTGTGCTTTACTGCCCTACTCTGATGTCTTTCCCCAGAACTGCTGAGAATAAGAATTTTCCCCATCATTTGTCAGCCAATACCTTGCTTGGCTTCCTCTGATGCTTCCTCTTCTGTCCTCTTCTTTGTTATTCTGCAAGATAAGAAAATGGATGGTGATAGGTTTACAAACACAGAATAACTCACTGGGTTGCTATAGTTGATTTTTTCATGTGGTGCTGTGGAAGAGATCTGTCTAGCTCTAAAAAAGTGGTGAAATCTGCAGACATCTGTACTGGATAGAGTTAGCCCAGATCTCAGAAGCAGCGCAGCCATGAAGATACTGCACTGAATGCAGGCTAATTAGCCTTCCAGGAGGGCTAGGTAGCCGAGGGCTACCTAGCTAGCTCAGTGTCAGAATAGAAATTTGTGGTTTCCAGAGTTTGCTACATCAGAATGAGCTCTGGCATCCTTATGGCACTTACTGCAAGTGCATATGCCTCTATTATGCATTTGCTTACTCTCCACTCTAAACAGTGATTTTTATAAGCCTTCTGGCAGAAAATTATGGCTATTCAGGCTTTTGCTAAGTGCACTTTCACCTCTGTCCACTAGGCAAAACAGTTGGGCCAGCAGTGCTCAGGACTTCACAGGGATCTGAGGAGGCAGCTGTGCCCATGGGTGAATGTGGGAGTTCTTCTCCTTTGTCCTCCAAGGGAGATCCTGAGCGCTAGCTGGTGTCCTGGCCATTTATTCCTAAATGAAACTTCCTGCAAATGTGTTATGGGAATATAGAAACTGCAGCGAAACGGGAACAAATGCACAAGTGCACCAGGTGTCCTGTTTGGGGGAGAGAGTAGTATGTGTTACAAGGCAGTTGGACAGATGTCCAAGGAATGTTAGTCAGAAGTAATTGTTTTCCTTTTTCTGTCTTTGTATTCTTGCTGCTATTGTCCTATACATAATAACATTTAATTTTTTTTATCATAGTATTTTGTATTCTTATCTAAAAGAGTGATTACAAATACCTTCAGTAACTAGAGAACATAGGTATTTTGTTGGAATGTTAAACCAAGGCATTTGTTTATTTTTATAGATGTTAATGATGTACTAAGTCACAGATTTATTTTCTTAAACTATTGCACATACTGGAATACTGCACTTTTTTTAATGGAAGGTGCCTGTTCCCTCCCAATACCTTAGGCTCTTCCTTTTGTCTTCATGAATCGATACACATTAAAGAGTCCATTGACGCAACTAGTCGTCAAAAAACTTCTACCTGCTCCTCTTCTTGGTGAGTATAAAGAAACTGTACATCATGCAGCTGATCTGAGGCCCATTTGCTGCCCCCATCTGACTGTAGAATTCTCTTGCCTTTGCACAGATGTGGTCTGACTGTTTTCTAGCTGCCCTCTCTGACTGCCTTTGCTGGGTACTGTCCTTTCTGTGTGAGAGTTAACGCTCACTGACAGTGTAGCTTACCTCTATTTGATGCTTGCTGATTTTTAGTTTTAGAGCTGCAGAGCACTCTTCTGACCTTTGTATGCATGACATGCTACTATTTCTCCAAAGATATCCAGGGATGCAGTCGGCATTTTTCTTTGGCTTGTGCAATACACCCGAAACTGTCAGGACGGATCAGAAGGGTGGTAGGACTGGAACTGACGTGACCTGGTGTGGCACATACATGACACCAGAGTGCGACATAGCTCTGCGTGTGCACTGACATAGTTCCTCACTCGGGTTGGGGCTGCTGCTGGCTACGTAACTGCTGACAGTGTAGAAAGTGAGGGTTGTTATGAGTATTATTATCCTTGCAAGGTAGTGGGACTTGGTTCATTACTGGAGTGGCTCTACTGACATGGTAAAGTTGCACCAGGACAAGTTTAACTATTTGATGTCATTCACTATTTTTCTAATGCCACTAAAGAAATTTTCGGCCCTTCCTAGGGGGAAACTGGTAAAATTAAAACATATGTCATCTCCTCTCTTCCAAGTTCTGTGGATCTTTCCAAGGATCTGCATTAGACCTTTCTGACTTGTTTCCCTTGGAGCAGGTGTTAAAATGTGCTTCCATTTTCTTAAAGGTATAGAGAAACCTGAGGGTAATTGATTAATCCAGCATGAAAAGTGTCCTCTGTTACACTGGTGTCTTTATTGAACAGCCCTGCCAAAAACTAATAAAAAGAGAAATCTACTATTTCAAGCAAGGTCAGTTTGCCAGACTATGCACTGTTATGCCTAGACCTTGGCCTAGAAAAGAGAAAACCAGCTAGATTACTAACTCCCATTTGATACGGTCTTTTTAAGTGCCAGTGCTTGTGTTTTCAGAGACTGGCTGTGGGATGGGTGTTTCCAGGTACCTCGTAAAGCTGGGGCTGGAGGAGACCGAAACATTCTCACCTAGGATGCAGCTGAAGCACTGCCACTTGTGACAGACACCCGGCTGGGCAGACAAGGGCCATAATGGAACATACTAGAGCCAGTGTTCACCTAGCACCCTCCCTTTCAAATCAGGGATGCAGCCTTTACTTAAAGTCTGTTCCCTTCAGCATCTTTTGTGCTGGATTTTGCGCTGACCAGTACAAAACCTATCCATAACACAAATCTCTCCCCTTTCTCTTAAGAACAAAGTACTTTTGGTTTGAGCTAGATGGCAGTGATCGAAAGCTCGGAGTCCATACTGATAAAGCACCTTTTAGGATTGGGGCCTTAAAATCCTGCTCAAGCTTCTGATACAAAAATTAAGATCCCAAGTAGATTGTTATGGGGCAGTCTCTTCTTAAGCTGCCAGCTTATTCAGTTGTGAACTGTTGAACTGGAAACGTAAAATGCACATAATTCTGAATATTACTATTGAGATAGCCCTTTGGGATCTTTTAAAGCAAAATCCTCTTTAATTCTGCAGGCTTGATGAGTGCATTTACTGTGGTGGTGGTGAGAAGCCCAGAATTTGAGAATGGGATTGAAGTGATGGACAGGAATGGCAAGGTTGTAGGAGTGTCACAGAAGGCTGGTGAGAAGGTAGGCAAGGGGGTGGAGACCTCTCTTGATTTGGCTTTCGTTCCCTGCTAAGAGCTGAATGTGATGCTGAGAGTAGACAGAGTTGGATATATTGAAATGAGGAATCCCAGCTCAGGTGCTGAATCTTTGGGTAGGTCTCTGCAACCAGGTTCCACAACCCTTGTATCTTCAAGGGTTGGCAGTCTCCCCAGACCAATATACTGAGTGCCAGAGTTGAGCCACAGAGACATTAGCACAGGCATTTCTGCATTCCCTGGACATCTCGGAAGGAGACCGGACTCTTGGACCTTCTGATGGGACACCTCAGAGGAAAGCCCTGTATTGTATATATCACATTCACCGTCTGTAGTGGGAATATTACTTAAAGGCTGTGCCTCCCAAAGGGTAATGCCCTAATCTACAGTGTGCAGCTACATTTTATGCTTGGGCTCCAGCTCCTGACCAAGCTGACTCTGTATTTGCTCCTTGCCTTGCTCATCAACATCCACTGTAGAGCCTGGCACAGGAACTAGAGCAAGGAATTATATTTTATGTGCTATCAGTGACTCTCCCTTTCTGTGCTGCTGTCCAGATAGGAAGAAACAGGTAGATGAGCATAAAGATTTGTGGACAGCTGGAGAGGGAATTTCAAATTTGACACAGGATAGTTAGGATGCCCAGAAGTTATAACCATTTGGAAGAAGTTCAGCACAACTTAAAAAAGCAAGTCTAAGCAAAATTATTATTGTGCAGGAAAACTTGATGTGGCATCAATAGTATCACCTCCCTTTGAAGGAATTTCTTAGTCACAAGTGGAATATTTGCCACTTGTAGAAGTCAGGTTTCCATTTAGGAAATAATTCCTCTAACAAATGTTTTTATCCCTCATTTACTGTTGCTTGAAACTCCAGAGTATTAGCCAAAAAAGTGCTCACGGAAGCATGAGGTATTTGAAGCTGCACAGAGCACTGCTTTAATAACATTTATTTTTGTCTCTCCCTGGAGGCCGTTAAAGAAACAGCATTATCGAGAGCAGTTTTGTTTGGGACAACATTCTTCCTGCCATCTGTGCTTATGCACTTTGTGGAAAGGTAGGAGGTACTGCAGGGGGGCTGGGGGTGCCTGGTCAGTGTGTACTCTGGGTTTTAGTCTGGCTGTTCCCACTTGCCAATTTTTTCCTGGGTTTGCAGTATTACTTGCCTTGGTAGAAGTGATTATCTGGGAAGTTTCTGTTCAGCTGCTGTGATTCATTTAGATAAATAACTGAATCTGATTATGTCTGCATCCATGCTTTGAGGGGTTTGCAGGAGGCTGTGTAAAACTATGAGGGTTTCCTCTTTGCTCCGATGCAGGAAACATGTTTGTGCTCTCCTGACAGGCTGTTTTATCTGTGTCATGTAAATACTACAGGTAGGGATCATCTATGTCATGTAATTTGGTATTGCCTAAATCAATTCCCTATCCCCTTTTTTAGCTTAAGAGACCTCTGTTACCAGAAGACATAAATACAGATGTAAGATAAAATTTTAAATATATATTAAGTAATAAAGTTTTGCACAAGGCAAAGTAGGACTGCCAAGAGGAACTGAAGCTGAAAGGAAAAAGGGTAATGCAAGAAAAATCTTAAGTCAAAGAACCAAGATGCTTTAAAGCACTAATTCACCTTCTCTTCTTTGGTCACTTTCATCTTGCTGCTTTCCTTAATCTTGTATTGACAATCTGGCCCTGGAAAATGCTGCAGCTAAATACAAAACAAAGGGAAAGAACAGGAGGTTAGGAGAAAAAATATAGGAAATAAAGTAAGGAAACATCTTTAGGATTCATAAGCCTATATTACTAATTTCAGTGCAATTTCAACCACTAAAACGGTAGCTAGTACTCTTTGTCTCACTGTCAGATTATTTTTTGAGCCCAAACCGACTGACTGACTTTTTCATTGTCTTGGACAGAGCAAAATTTGCAAAAACTCCACGTGCTTTGGCTTCAGTGAGAATGCTTATGATTACATCCGTACTCGCAGGGATGCTACCAGTTTCACTTAGTATGTTCCCACAGTGTGGGGAGGTAAGTCCTTTCATAGGAATTGATTTAGGATTATCGTTACATTAAATAGTTATTCTAGAACTATGGCCACATAGAAAAAAATCAACAGGATTAATGTGACTGTGCATCTAAAATGGGGCAGTGGAGAGGCTGCTTGTGAAGGCCCATGTACTAGGCAGAGGCTTACAGATCTTTCTAGGTCTATGTTGCATTGTGTGTTATTTATATGTACACTTTTCAATGTAGATTTATCACATTTTCACAACAGTCTGAAGCAAGCAAGGTCAGGAGAGCTGTCTTAAAGATTAAAACCAAGGCCCTTCCAGCACTGTTTTCAGTCCTGCTGGAGAAAGGAAGGATGTAGATAAGAATTTTTTTTCTTTCATGCAAAGTCAGCACGAGCTCATCGGAGAGGTAAACCAGCTCATATGCAACATCTCTTCACCCTGCCTTACTGTGAAGTGTGATCTGTTCCATGGGAAAGCATGCCTTCCTGGCAGGGCTTAAATGGAGGATGTAGCCCTTGAACCTTAGGAGAAGGCCAAGTGAGAGAGGAACCTGGGGTTCCTTTTTACTGTATTTCCTCTCCCTTATCAGCACCATGTGAATATTCTCAGAAAATCACAGACTGGGCTCTTGCAATTTTCAGTGGTTTCTATTATTTGCCTAAACTTTTTGGCATTGTAATCTCTTTTTTTTTGTTGTTTTTAATTTCTTAATTTCTTATGGCAACAAGGGTAAACTGAACATAAATGAGGGGACTTGTGAGAAATTATGTACTGAGAGTGTGGCTGTTGGTTCCCTTTGAGCTTCCTAATTGCTTAGCTCACAGCAGAAGTTCTCCTGGGTGAGTCACCCAAATATATTTACAGTTGGACTCGATGATCTTAAAGGTCTTTTCCAGCCTAAAATTCTATGATTCTACAGTGAATGGAGAGAACGTCACTAATTCTCTCTTTAGATCTCAGGAGTACCTCTAATTTTAAGTAAAACAAATTTCTTCCTTTATGTGTGTGCATGTAGAAAATGTCAGAGAAGCAAAATAAAGCCCCAAAAGCAAAAAAATCCCACAAGCCCCCAAATAGACCCCCAAATCCCATACAGTCTTGCTTCTGTATATAGTATTTCAATTTGTGCAAAGTTCAGTGCAGTAAAGATGACTTAACATATAGTTACCAGGATATGCTGGTGTTGATTCCCTTTTTCTATACATTGCAGATAAAGCGAGCAGACCTCGAACCGGAAATTGTATCTTCTACAGAAGAAACGGAGTTATTCTACAATAGGGGAATTTAGAGATTGGTTTTAGTATATAAATGTGTGCTCTGATTGAAGTAAATTCTGAACGCATCAACAAATTCAACTGGCATATGTGACCAATCATGAATTTATGGTAGCGTATGTACTGGATTTGGTGTGTGGTCTATAAAGAAGCAGACTTTGCAAAATGATTTTGCAAGCCCCAGCCCACAGGCAGGTATGTACACGTAACTTAATGCTGTAAATGATACTGTACCAGAAAGCACTATAACACAGCATTTGTCACAGACTGTGTTCTGTATGCTTCCTCTGTGATTGATTTCTTAATTAAAAGACTACTGAATACAAAAGCTTGTTCTGCTGCTGCTGTTGCTGTGGCTTTTGACATACTGCTTTCCAGGAACACAGCTGGTAAAGGCATTAACATTGTTAGTCCTTTGGGTCAAGTCAAGCTGGTTCCTTTCAGAACTTTGTATGTCTGGTTGTTTTTAGTAACACTCATTTCAAGGATGAGACATGAGCGAGGTAGCCATTAAAATGATATGAGACAATGCAGCTCGGATGGCAATATAATATTGGTGAAATTTAGTTAAGAAATGGTCAGGAAATGGGTGTCAAACTTTGCTACAAAGTGACTCCTGGCTTTCTTGACATCCTTGAAGGAGTTGTGAGGCCTGATGTTCCTGGAGCTTTAGAACTTGGTTTTTACACTGAAGCCACCAGGAAGTCCTGTGGCTTTCTGACCTTGTGGTGGACAATGAGGAATCCCCACTTTTGCAGGTTGATGGTGTTTATCCAAAGAAAAAAAGCTGTCTTTTGAGATGTGGCATAAGGCTTAGCCTGCTGATCAGCGCAGTGATAAATTTTGCTGATTGTACGAAATTATTCAGGGGACCAGGGCTGTCTGAAGAGTTCCAGAAAGAGCTTACAACACTGGATGTAAAAACAGGTGAATTAAATACATAAGTGAAAAGTAATGAGCTTGGCAGAGGGGATGATCCAGCTTCACGGCTGGGCTATGAGCTGGCTGTTAACACTAGGAGTGGAATCATGTAGTTGCACTTTGAGGTTCTTACCAAAGGGCATTATGGATACTAAGAACTCACATGAATTTAAGAGAATGGGCATTTCCATCAAAGGTAATCCATTGAAGGGTACCAAATTCATGGAAACTACACCAGTAAAAAAAAGTTCAAAAGCTCCATACTGCTGGAGCGTGGAATGGATAGATAGCTTATTTGCCTGCTGTCACTCTCGTGTCTGCATTTTGGTGGCCACTGGGATATGACGTCTGGCCAAATAGATCTTTGGTGTGGCCCAGTACAGCTGCTTTCATGCAGTTGGCTGACGTGCCACAAAATGCAGACCAGACCTTCTCCTGGGGGAACAAGATAGGAAGAAGCTCCAGAACTGTGGTAGGAGATGCTGTGGTTGTCATAACCATAGGCAGGGGTCATAGGAGACACGGCTCTAACATCACTGAAGATGTTACATGAGGTGCTGCTAAGGCTGTGTGTCACAAGGATAAGTATGCACTAAATAATGTAATTATCACTTTCACAGAAATAATTTTACAAGTACAGCTTCCAAAGTCTGCCATAATTTAACTTCCTTAAAGCACAATACCCAGGTCACCACTCTCCTATGGCTGGAGGATTAGATTTCTTTTCAGGAAAGCAGTGGTGTCCCAATCCACTCCATCCCTACAGGAAGACGGCAATATAGAGTAATGTAAGGAAAAATAGCAGGAAAACAGTTCCTGCTGCGCTTTTGGCACTAAACAAAAGCAGGAAGTAGGGGGTTGAGTTTAGTTTCTTGTGCAAGTTCTGCCTTTTTTAACAACTTACAGCACGGAAGGGGCAGGGAAGGAAAGAGGACAGGGGAGTAGTAGCCCATCCTAAGGACCTGTAACTTGAGGGGAGCATGCTGTGAAGCTGCTCCAGGAAGACAGTATGGATACGGTCTGTACATGGCCAAACCTCAGAGTGGCACAGAATTTGTACTACTCCACTGGAGGGCTGTAGTGAATTTTTAAAGGTAAAGGATCACTTACACCTCCTGAACTCAACAGGGAGCATTTAGCTGTGCCTTTGTGGGTCATGTTCTTAGGTGCATAGTAACATCCCATGAGGGTCAACAACATAAAAGCAGTTGTACGGTGTCAGACCAAAGGTCTGCCTGGTCAAATGTCAGCGCCAATGGCAGCCAAAAGGAGACACAAGAAGGAAAGATCCCATCAGGCTCAGCTCTCCTGAGCTGGGGGGGACACTAGGGAGAAGGAGGCTTGCCCTGCTCTTTTTCCTTAGCTACCACAGGGGTGGGTGGAAGGGGCTTAAAGCCTCAGCCTGCCTCTCTCAATGAAGTCTTTATCTCCTTCTGAATCTTCAGCAATGATGGCACAGCTAACATTCTACAGTTAAATTCTCTAACCCTGTTTCTCTAGTAATCCTATTTCAGTAACATACCCAAGGCAAACTCAGATGGGGTCTAATTTCATTTTCAGTAAACATGAAGTGGCACCACAACAGAGAACCACTGCACGCCCCCTGCTCCTTTTTCCAATTTAAGAATGGCTAAAGTAAATACTAGTTATGTGAACCACAGTGGAAACAAGGCACAAAACCCCCCACCCAGCAGTAGAGCAAAGCCAACAAATTGAAGATAACACGTTCGTGAACTTTGAATTGTCATGGTAACTAGACAAGCTATAAATTCTTGTGGCACCACACTTGGATGTTTTAAGCAAATTGATGTCATTACAACTCTGTGAGTAAGGCTTATGGAATAGGTCTGGTAATAGTGTCTGTTATTACAGCTGCCCATTATCAAACTCTACCAGCTTATTTGTTGAAATTTGCCATATTAAACACAGCCCCCTCCGGGTTATTAAATACCTCTTTCCTTTCCCCCATTCTCAGAAATGTTTCTATCACCCCAGCCAGAATTTCCCAGAAGAGAAGGGCAGGCACCTGCCATATAAATTGTCAGCCTGGGTGATTCAGCTGCTTCCTACATCAGGGCAGGGAAAACACATTGCTAAAAAGGCCCTGGCACCATTGGTCTTGAAATAAAGCTGTTACGAGACTAGAACTGCCAGGACCAGACACCTGGTTGTCCAGAGGGATGAGATAAGTGAGGGGAACAAGACTGGGACAAGCAGAAAAGCATCGTGTTTGAAGGACTTGGGAGTAGAGTCAGCACCTACAGGAAAACCTTCCCCTTTGTAACCTGGAATAGATTAACAACATACCAGCCCAAGGCAGGGCTGTCTCCTGCCTTCAGCACCGTCTGGTGTGTTGAGTGTCAGCACGTTAGTGGTGGAACCAGTTTAAGGTGTGGTATGGAAGTGCATAGAAGTTTTTGGCTTCAAGGAAAGCGTAAGTCTTAGTACAGCGCAATACAGCAGCAGCTCCCCACCTACCTAGCTTGTCATCTTGAAATTTAGGAATATACAATGAGCTTTCCACATCCCTTTAATGTAGCTTTAAAAAAACAAAAATAAAATCAGTCACTCCCATGCTAGGAAATACTGAGATCAAAGCATTTTCCCAGCTGGAGCTTGTGCCCCTGTGTTACCCCCAAGCCTGTAACACAGCCATGCTATTTCTGCTGGCAGGCCATCGGGGTGGAGGAAGAGGAGCCAGCACTGCGGCTCCTTCCCTCTGACAGCGGACATCATGCTATGTTGTGCCACAGCGGCAATGCTGCTCCGGAAGGAGCTGTTGCCCAGTCTGTGGAGTCTTCTTCTGCATCTTGCATCATTCGGCAGCTACAAGGAATGACCTCACCTGACCAAGGATCGCTCTGAGTCAGACCCCAGCCCCACAGCTGCCCATGGAAGGGCGTAAGGCAGTACAAGGCAGCTGTGAACTTCCTATGCTGAGCTTTACAGCTTGTTTTTTTTATCCAGAAATGTATCTATCTGCTTCAAACGACCCCTCACAACACCCCATTCACATATTATCACCAGCCCTTTCGGTAGCTGGAGAACTGAAGCTGAGGTTGAAATCAGAAGCAGGCCGTAGTTGTAAGATTGATACTGTCAGATGTCCTGTGTCATTTTTTTCCAGGTTACACAGCATTGCATTGCTCTCAATCAGAACATTCCCCCCCCCCACTTGCCCGTGGGGGAAACAACACAGAATTAGCCTTGAGGGACTAGCCCAATTTACTCAGCAAAATTACAACTGAAGGGACTGACTGTTTACCTGCTCCCCTTTGCTCTGTTCACTGTCTACTTTCCACTATCTGCAAACGTAGCGGAGATGTTCTGGCACAGCCATCACACGAACTGGTTCATGTGGGCAATGAGCTAGGAGTGCTCCAGGAGCACCTTCTGCCTCAACTGAGGAAGGCGCAGTGCTACAATTTTCATTTGAATTCAAGGCTTTCAATTATTCTACGTGCAGCACACCTTTTGGAGGGATGTCTCTTAGCAGGTCGACAGGTACCATCATTCACCATTTCATATTTATCCAAGAACAGAAAGGCAGTAAGATGAGAAGGTATGAATGAAAATTTCATTTTATACAGTCTTTGCTTCTAGGAGGAAGAAGAAAGGATATCATCTGACTTTGCTAAACCATCAGCTGCACAGTCTGCTTGTACGCATCCTGGGGAAAGGGAAGTGAGAAATAAGCAGAAATTGTTCCCTGTCCTGACCTTCCAGATTTTTCTATTTTATTCTGAACCTTTTTTTTGAGAGGAAGCAGCGTCAAAAGTTATTAAGAAAATGCAAGAACATTAGGACAATCCTCTGACAGTTCTGAAGCTGAGGGAAGCCTATACATCTTTCTCAGCACTGACAAAAAAGACCAGCACAGATGACAAAACGTGTAGTAGTAAATTTCTGACCTAAATATCAGGCTGTAACTTAATCCCAGTATTGTGAAACTAAAAGCTAAGGCCTGTGACTCAGTGGCCATAACTATTCAAGAATACATTTACATAAGTTAAATGGTAGGCTGTTCAGGATTATTTTTTTTAATATACATAAGCATGCTATGAGTCCAGTTCCTTAAGTGCAAAATTGTATTATTTCATTTGTTTCGCACAACATCAGAATACAAGATCTAA